GAAAAACCGATGCCGATAGCGACAAAAACCTGCGGGGAACTCTGCAAAAAACGCATCTTCGCACGGTCAGCCCGTGCGTAGGCCATTTTTTCACTTTTTAAAATGAAACTTTCTGTCTTTGCGTCCGGAATTTTGGCATTGTTCAGTAGCTTTCTGAGTTTGAGGCGTTGGTCCTGAAAGCACACTCGGTTTCCTGCTATATGTCCATAAAGCTGCGAGCCTTCCTTATAGAAGGATTGTTGCCACTCTGAAAACCCAGTGATACAGAGTAACGGGCAGCTTACAGAATTTAAAATGCGTGCTTTTGGGATGCATTACCCAAGTGCTGCTGTTGCAGGGGCGAGCCTAAAATCTGGTATGGTGTATCCGGATTAGAAGGCGAGAAATTTGAAATTGTTATGAAAGGCCTCGTACCATATCTGTTCAATCAGCAGCCTGATCTTCTGCACCATATGACCACTACATTAAATCCTTACGTTTTCATTGAGAAGGTAAAACGTGTTGCTTTTAATCGGAAGTTTTTTTTTCACGAAAAATTACGGATGGCATCCGTTTATGGAATACCCCGACCGTAGTGTACTGCCGGAATGTAAAAATTGAAGGCCAAGTGCAAAAATATTCCGAAAATTGCTGACTTTATTGCAGTTTAACAAATGAGCCTGGAAGGTCTATGAAATTATTTAAGCAGTTAGGCTTTTTTGATTTTTAGAATACTGAATACAGGTAAACTTAGTGAACTTGAAATTCTTGAAGAAGAGATGGGTGGAAACAGACAGATGAAAGAGTAGGAGAAAGCCGCACCCTTTCTGCCAAAATTATTACCCAGGCTGTAACACACCAGGCTTTTTGATGCGATAATGTGTTTTTGCGCTGGACTTGCAAATCGCTGACAGCAGTAATAGTTCTTGCGCGGTACTTAACACTTAGATTCATACTGGCTGCATTTTGGCCTCTTTTTACACGAAGGGAGAAAGAGCGTCGGCTGGGATGATGCTGCATTATGGGGCTGCACGGAACTCCAGCGTACATGACTGTCAGCTTTTTGCATGAAGTCCGGTCGTTTTTCCGGTAAATGCTCATCCACTGAAAAAAAAATGCAAATTTGGAGGAAGTCCGAAGAAGATTATGAGATCTGCAAAATGCACTCGCTTTTGAGCTTGCGATAAAATTGAGTATTTTCCATGTCTGTGTGCTTGGAATTTTACCTTCAAGCTGAATGAAGTCCGCAGTTGAATACAGAATAACCTTGACAAGTTCCAGCTTCACAGCTTGCATGGTAAGCGAAATAGCCACTCCGCTACAAATATTTTTAAATTGTCCTAAGCCGTGGCGCAAGTGTAAACCGGAACTCAGTTTAGGTATATGATTCCCCATACGAATGATAAGTAGTACGACAAAATTTGAGCTACTGCTTTCCGGCTAGTTATGTGTTTTTGCCGTGCAGCGCTAGAGCGCTGCAACAGGCAGCGAAAACGCATATTGCAACGACCCTGTC